ACGATCTCCACCGGTCTTGGAGATGCCCTGACCAGGGTGACCATCGTTCGAGGCGTCGAAAAGGTCGCAACTCATCTCATCTGGACTCTGCATCACTCCCTTTACGACGCATGGACACTGCGACTTCTCTTGGATGCCGTCAATGAGGCTTACCAGAGTGACGCCCTCCAGGTCAAGCCCCGACTTGCCTTCCAACAGCTAATTGAACACATTGGAAGCAGAGATCTGGCTGCCGATCGTTCGTTCTGGGCATCATACCTTTCAGGCGCTGGTAACTCCCCGCTGTTCGGCTACCTGTTTGTGCGCGATCCTGTGAAGGACATGAGAGCAGACTACCAGATTTCGCTGCCACAAAAAGTAGAAGGAGCTACTTTGACAGCGACGATAGCATCAGCTTGGGTCCGGGTGGTTAGCCGTCTGACTCAGTCTAACGATGTCACCATTGGATACCTCGTCACTGGCCGCGCGGTGTCAATCCCCGGAATTCAGCAATGCGTCGGACCGGCGATTTCCAAGGTCCCGCTCCGGGTCCGGCTGGAAAGTGGAGACACCACCGCCGATGTTTCGGAGAAGGTCCAGAACGAACTCACCCGACTCATGCCGTACGAACTTTCAGGATTGAAGACGATCCAGAGCGCCAGCCAAGATGCAAGGGATGCTTGTCGTTTCCCTGTAGATTTGACTGTCCACCCACACGGCACACTTTCTTTCGCAGGCGAGGGCATTGGCATGCGCTTCGCAGGAGGCGAGGTCGCTAGGGCCCCTCCTGGTGGCTTCTCTGTCGAATGCACCATTACAGAAAGTGGCATCGAAGTCACTGCTTTTTGGGACAGCCGAGCGGCCCGAAAAGAGAGTATCGACTCGTTGTTGGAGGATTTTAAGACAGTCCTGCTCTCTTAATTTCACCGGGATTCCATGGCGTTTATTGGCGTGCGCTCAAGTTTCATCATGAGTTTTCCTTTCTTTTTCTTGTATTGAGCCAATTCCTTCCATAGATTCATTTTTTCGTTTCAATTGGAGTTTCTAGAAAATAGACGATACTTCATTTGGCATCTTCCAATGAATAACACAGAACACTGCGTGCATCGGTCGCCCCAAGTGACCATATTCGCCTATGCATACCAGGAATGTTCGGCCGATCTTGATTGTTGCCTCTTCCGTTCAGAACCTTGGGACGGTTGGGTGTTGTCGAAAGTTTAACAGCTGCACAAGAAGCTTAGAGATCGCGTGCGTCGGAACCAGCCATGAATTCAATCCTTCAAAGTTTTAAGCTTCTTCTACACTGGCTCAGAAAGTCTACCCCATGTGTTTGACAACAAAATCTGAACCACGCGCATGCATTTTAGTTAGATCCGTATCGCAGAAAGGTTGGACCAAAGTCTGGGGAATCTTTATCTTTGGTCTTGGCGTTGTCATTCTTCCCGAATGAAATTGTGCGGTAATGTAACGACAATGGTCACATTGCGTGAGGTGTTGGAATTACTTGATTACTACTTTACTCGTTCACATCCGCGCCATACTCCAAGAGTAACTTCAGGGTTTCGATCCTCTCCAGCACCACCGCCAAGTGTACCAATGTTCGCTTCTGGGTATCCTTCAAATTGACGCAACGCTTCAAAAGCCCTTCAAAAGGCTGCAATCTACTTTTCTCCTCACACCATTTCAACAATCCTCGCAGTTGTTCGATATCGTCGCGAACAATAGCTTTGTGGAAGACAGTCGTTCCCGAGTCATCTGGCAACGTGATATCGGCCCCCAAATCCAGCAGCGTGCGAGCCGCGACAGTGTCGCCCCTTTCCACAGCTAGATGAAGAGCCGTCTTCCCTGACTTATTCTTGGAATCCACGTTACCTCCGCTCTTGATAAGAAGTCGTGCGATTTCTAGATTGCCGCGCATAACGGCGCTAAGCAGCGGTGTGGACTCTGTTGTTGAATCGTGCGACACGACAGAATTGCATGAGCTGCAACAGCTTGGTATCGATGATGGCGTGAGCCCCTTCAGACTCGAGGGCGTGCTAACAGTATCGATGGTTGATGCAGTCCTAGAAATGTTCGCGGAGTCGGCAGAATCCTGGTGGAATGCAGTCAGTGACTGAAGAGCGCACAGTTGAGAAAATCGAAGGGCGCCTACGTTGAGGTCACCGAGGCAGCTGAACGCGTCGCTTGGGCTGTCATGTGTTTGCGATTGAGTAGTTGTGAGTGCCAAAGGCTGCTCGGATTGTGACCCTCTTGGCTGAGACGATGTTTCCGTTACTTGTAACTGCAATGACGGCTGAGGTTGACTTCGAGGCTGTGGTGCTCCCAGTTGGGTGGCGGATTTTACTGCTGCTGGTGCGATTGACGAGTTCAGCGCGGCATCGATGCAATCCAAGCCTGTGGAAACGTTTGGCGACTCGAAATCATCAAGTCCGGGAACATCGAGAAAGTCAACCGTAGAATCTGGTTGATACGATGTATCGAAGAACTCCGGTGTTCGCGATCGGGTGTTGCTCCCGCTGCTACTACTGGCCTCGTTCCATCTCTGCTGTGCTGCTGCAGATTTGAGGTGTGGCAGATCGAAAAGAATAGCTTCGGCGAGTTCGATTCTCATACGCTGTCGTGAGCCTGAGATCCTCTCCTGTTAGTTTGGTACTCCCTTACATCCTCCTCAGGCAACTTGTTCCTCATCATCGTGGAGTGATTCTAACGACGCCAAGTGGCTTTCCTTCTGGGGACCAAACTCACGGTAGTTCCTCTGTGCAATCCTATTCTGCGCCTTCCGACGTTCGTTGATGTCGGTGATGTGCGACCAATCATCATCGCGTGAAGTCATTGCCGTATCTCGTGTAAGTGCCGGGCAGCAACGCGTTTGCAGGCAACATCTGACGGAGTGGTTGTCCGACTACTATCGGTCCCATCGTGATTTCTGGACAACGATGCATATAGACTGTTTGTATAATTCAACTTGAGACGCTGCCCGCCGGGGTTCCTCGCGGCGCGTAGAATACTATTGAGGTTGTTGATACCACGCTCAAAAGTATAAAATCTGGAGCGTCACATAATAACGTTTCGCTGAACCTAGGGCAGCCTGTTCGTTCCATTGCCCTGGATGCGCGTTAAATGACTCGCGATATGTCTCAATGTGCACAACCAATGTCCGAAAGAGGGACAATACCGCTTACGACCAGAAAGTTGGGTTTCTCATTGCGACCCCACCGCTTGTTGCAAAAGAAATAGCTATGAGCACGCAAGTCACTGAGGTTCTTGGCAGCATGTCCTCCGTTGTCAGGTCTGAACTGCTGCCTGATTTTGTAACGTGGTTTACCAATGCAGCTAAGCTTTAGACCCATGCAAGTGCCAGGACCCTGGAAACCTTACTTTTCGTGCTCGATGCACAAACGAGAGTTTCCCGAGTCAGGAGATTGGCTCGCCGTCGGGGCTAAGAACCGACTGAACATTGGGACCCTTCCAGAAGTTTAACGAACCTCTCAGTATCTGGTCTGGGAAAGTTTCTCCTGCCTGAACGCATGGAAGTTTGGCTAGTCTGCGCCGCCGCTAAGCCGAAGTGCTGACGTACAATCTGCCCGGCTTGTCTACGTGAGCTCTGAAGTTTCCGACAGGCAGGGTTACAAGCCACGTTAGTTGAAATAAACTAGCATAAAGCCTCATAGCGAGTCAAACGACACCTGTCTTGCCGTTGGATGGGTTCTTTACGGAATTCGCGTTACGTTTCTTCTATTGCCTCGCACCGGGCTGGTGGTAATACGGGGCCTTTCAACTCGGACCGCGGATAAACGGCCCCTCCCTACCTACCCACAGACATCCGGTATAACCTCACTTCGGCTCGGCAAAACGGCCGTCACCGCATGCGTATTCCGAGGTTGCAACTCAATGATTCAGTTCCCCGACGAAGAGGAGCTCCTGCGCGCTTGCGCGCAGGCACACCCCGCATGGATTGCAATGGCGAGCTATCATAACCAGGGGATGTTCTTTTCCGATCGTTACATTGAGTCCAGAGTGGGTACGATCTCGATGGCTAAAGCTCTTCAACATAGCCCCAGATTCCTGAAGTAACCAAATAAACTTTGATTCGTCAATTATTGGTGGCTTGTACGCAGCGGTCTTCTACCACCCGCATCATGTCGTACTGCCGGGTTTTGGGTCCACCTCTGCCTCGTCTTGCTCGGAAAAAAGCTGCGACAAAAACGTGGTCATTTTGCGATTGATCGTTGGTTCCTTGCAAAAAGCAATTACGTGAAATGTGCTATGTGGAGGGTGAGAGTCCAGGCACAAACCACTTTTGCAAATCCATGCATTAATCTCGGTCAGTCCCGGATATACGACCCTTCAAAAAGGCTTCGAATTCAACTCCTGAGTCCTTTCATAACACAGATATTTTATGGATTGAAGGTAGAGTACACTGTTTTACCCAGGCTGAGAAGGACCTGTAGCATAATTCAATGTACTCCACTTATGTGTCGGGCTTGAAAAATGATGAAAGTTTGCGGGCAATACACGAAGTAACTTAGAATGATGCTGGACGGGCTTCGATTGACCTGGGTCTTCGCGCAATTGCCCTCCAAGTTACTTGGCCTCTTTTTTCAATATCATATTGCTGCGTAATCAACTCAGCCATCCCGAGGAGTCCGAAGATGTCGGGCTTTGCGGAGTTTACGAGGAATATTTGAACAGCCTAATTATACCTGTCAAAAGAGACATATCGACAGTATCTGGTCATGGCGATGAAGTTTACACTGTCATAATTAAAATGGTGGAGGCGAGCGCAATCGTATCCATGATGGGAATCTCAGTTGAGGCGATTCCATAATGCTTATTTAGGGGAGTAAATCCACCACCTGATTCTGGCTGACAAACCGAACTGCGCGGAAGTACAACGGCGTTTAACATAGTACGCGTGTTGCCAAATCTAGGTTCGAATGGAGTTCTGAGTATTGATCAGAAGCAGTGACACAATCACGCGATGCGGTATGTACTGACTTCAAATCCACCCACCAGGACCGTTACAGCAAGTCAATGTCCTGTTTGGAGTTGTCCACGCCAGTGATTTTGAAGACCACCCAAGTCCAGAACGTCGAGGCTTCTCCAATGAAGTAAAGAAGGCGCATGATTGCCCTGTTCTTAAACCTTGAAGTGTCGGACGCCTTACAATGTTTCGTTAGCACCGGCAACACGTATGGCCTCGAGAAGCTTACTAGTGGGTTGTTGCCTCCGCTTTGTCTGACCCATTCAAATGCGCGAGGTATGACGACTCCTTCATAAGCCTCACAGGCTTCGATGAAGTCTTGCTCACTGGTGCCATTTACTGTCTTTACCTTTTCCGCCAACCTAGTCAGTAGGGGAAGGGCGTCTGCGGTGTCAAGCATGGACTGGTTGCCGCCCATCCCCCTAGAGATATTAGTCAGTAACTTTCTGGATACTCGCGAGGTTATGGTTCTTCACTGGATACATACCTAGACGGAAGCATAGCGTGCATGGCATCTCCGATGAGCCAAACATGCGGGTTTCCAAGACGTTCATCATCAGATGAAGCTACAGATTGACGCCAATCGAGCGAGGGCCGGGAGGAAATCCTCGGGGCCCAGCAATACATATCCTGTCCGCGAAACCAACCAAAAATTTGGTGGCTGAAGAGACTCGACGTAAGTACAGCCGCAAAGTTCGAAATATTGCGTCACTTAATACTGATAGCTGGTTCACTTACTGTTGTGGGGACCAATCGCGGATGAGTGATTCAGCTGCGTCCCATTTCTCCTCCGTTGTTAATGCGTCAAAGTCTTGAGGCATTCGATCACGACGCCATCCGACTCCCAGCATGGTAGATATCCCCTGCTCAGAACTTGGCTTCGACGCTGCCGAATTTCCTATCTCTCTTGGAAGATACACTAGCGAACAAGCCGTCAGTATGACCAAGGGACATGAAGCAACTGTGCAGGTCATTTCTCACCCGAGAAGAAAAATGTGGTCCCGCCCTCGATAGTGCCAACTGGAGAATGTAGGCCTTGGGAAATATTTTTGAAGGCTGAGGCAGGAAAATCTTTTCTCGCGAGGAATCCATAGTAGGAACCGACTTCCTCCAAATTGTTGAGCCCCAAGAGGCAATTGACCTTGGATCTGTCAGCCCCAGATACCTGAGATTCACAGATATGCAGCAGTTGCCTTGGATCCACTTCCGTCCGCCCCAACAAGAACATCACAAGTGTCAGACGTATCATCATCAAAGAAAGCCTTGACAAAGCGCCGGCTCCCATCTTGATGTATCTCGTAATTCGTAAGTCGCTTCTCGTTATGAAGCTTTCCCATCTTGTAAAGCGGCTCAGAGAGAGCCTCTCGAAGAGAGACGCGGTTGATTGGGGTCGACCTCTTGTATCCCGGCATCTTCCCGGGCTCAAACATCTTGTTGAAGTGTTTGTCGTACACGATGGGTGGGTTTGAGACAGTCGAACGAGCAAACCGTCTGACAATAGAATCGATTTGCTCTTGTTCCAAGCACGCCCGCATGCCGATCAGAGCTCCTTCGCCCAGCCGAATCTGGAATCCCTCACGTTTCGAGTGCTTCTCTGCGCGCTCGTAGACTTCGAAATCGATGTTGTGCTTGGCGAGACCGTTGGCAAGTAAACTGCCGGCGAGCCCAGAGCCGATGATAATGACTTTGAAAGAGGTCATGGTCCTTCAAGATAACGAGGAAGAATTACAACTCTCACCCAGGAAAAGACAACCATGTTGATCAATACGCATTTTTCCAAACCCGTGGAATTATATGTTAGACATCTTGGTTCATCGTCTGATGTCTGCGGAGCGCAGTTGCATAGCGTCCAATCAATTCAAGCACCGCGACACCTTCGGTAAAACGAACCCACCGAGTCGGGAGGTCGTGGTCTCCGACTACCGACTTCAAAGGCAGCGGACGCAGTGTTGGAGATCAGAAGCGCCGTTTATCTTTCAAAACGGTGTGATACGATGCTTTTCCGAGACAGCTGGAACTCCATGAATACCTTACCCACCAGCTAGGTAATTAGCTGCCGACAAGTAGTGCTTGAAATGTGACATGTGCGCTTTCAAAACTATGATCAAGTCGTTCGCAATACAATGAGTTGGTATCATGCATGTTCAGACTCGAAGCTGAGGGCTGTAGAGGAAATTAGGGCAGAGTTCTAGAACATTTCTTGAAGCATTTGCCCTAACGGCACAAGATGTTGCGTAACCCTCGCTAGCGATCCTATTCATTCGCGCATAATTGATCTGTAGGCAAGCAGCAATCCGTTGCTAGGATGCGCATGATCTACAGGGCACGTGGCTGACATTTGCGGTGCTCTGCCTTATCAACTCGCAAAACCCTGGGTGAGACCAACCGTGCTCGGATTATCATTTCCCATTCGTCGCGACCGACAGTACATCAAGAATGATAAACAATCATGTCTTGGGGCACGGGCGACGTCCATATGTCATCATGATCCTCCTTGCACAAATCCCATCACACAATTGCCGATCGCTGCTGCATGCGTCCTCCCCTAGCCGGTGTGGCTTGATGACATCATGAGGCCGAGCGGCAAGCTCCCCAAGCTCCTCAAGCTCCCTTATCAGAACGACCTCCCAATAACCCCAAATCTTCAACCACAGGAGATTTCATACCAAATAACGACCGAATCAATCCAATCACAATCATGGCACACCTAGCAACTCGCCAAAGGGTAATTCCAGCACTCACGCAGCAAGCGCGCTCTCTGCCCTTCGCCCTTCGCGCAGCCAGCGCCCCGCGACGTCATCTCAGCGACAAACCAGGACTGGAGTCAACAGACATGCGAGACGCGGCGGACGCAAGAAAGACGTCCCCTCCTCAGCCCAAGATCACAAACTCCAGCGTACCGGGACAGGGCCCGGACAAACTCACCAAGGAGCAGAAGCGCGAGGTCGAAGAGCACAACCGCGATTTCGAGAAGAAGCACGACCGAGCGCAACCAGCTGGCGATGACAAGGTTGACAAGAAATTCTGGGGAAGCGGGACTGAGGATACCAAATAAGCGCACTGACATTTACAACGCTGCGTAAGGGGGCATGCTGGTTGAGTGGCTGTTTGTAAGATACCAGAAATTTTAGGGATTTGGTATTGGCTGGAACACTCGCAGACCAAGTCAACATTTGGGGGAGGCTTCTATGCTCGAATGCATCGCTTTCGAGAATCACCCGCTCGGTGAGACGTGTTATCGTGATCATCGCGTGAAAGACTGAGAGTAATCTGAATAACTTCCCTTGGCGTGCTCAAATACATAGACTGAAGCACGGTAGCGCCGCTTGTCATCCGATCCATCAGTCTCCTTATTATTGACGGATTGGCACTGTAAACCCATAGAATGAACAACGACGGCACTCTCCAGGTTTGCATTGACACGTCTCGGGGCTGCTCTGCCATGAATCGTCACAATGAATCCTGACAACTGCCGTCCCATGCATTTGTTTCAATGTTGATGGCATTACGCTATCCCCGCATCGTCGGAGACATCGACGTTGTATTATTGTCTACAGAATCATGGGACGGGAGCACTCTCGTTTGAAGCGCATTGGCGCCCATGATCCGGATGGTTTAGATGGTATTGGGATTTCTTGGGTCGCATTATCCGTGGCCTTGGCAATCAAAAACGAAGGCATCTCCAAAGCCAAAGCCCATGAACACTATGTTTCTGTCATGGAACTGCCTAAAATAGCAATACTCATAAGACTTAAGCTTGAATGATATAAAGTTCCTACGCCCACGGGCCGCTGTTGTAAATCACGCTCTCCCATGTTGGGCTTGGGGTTGATGTCTTGGCAATAACTTGAGGGTAGACGACTTCATGTATGGATATTTTTAGCAGCCAACAAAACGGTCTTTTGTCCGATGCTTCAGTCAAAATGCCACGCCAAGAACAAAGACCAGATGAATGGCCTCATTATCAGGGTCCTCTCTACTTGGTCAACCAATTGTTCCGCAAAACCTCTTTGGTGATCGCGGTGTTCCCACCCTTGGGGCCTTGGCGCCCCCGCCAGCTGTCGGCAGCTCCCTGAAAGCTCCCTCCGAGCCTGCCAAGCTCCCACGCGTCGCGGTTCACAGCTTCGAAGCTACATTACGAAAGCAGACTGAGCCACCTCCGTGTCTCTGTCCAACTTGGCAAAAGTCAGAGAAAATCACGAATTGGATCCAGTGGCGACGCAGCATCTCAGGTGTACATCTCTTGGCGAAGATGCGATGAAAGGTTTCAGAGTGGCGTGGGGGTACCAAACCTCGCGACAGTACCACTGGACATCGACGACTCTACTATGCAGTAGAGCTTGCCACATGATCTGGTCTTTCGAGGCTTGCCAGTTGAGCGTACGCGATGCTATGCTTCGTTGGCGGTGACGGACATGTCCACGTGGGAGAATGTGCTTGCTGCGCGAAGACAGCTCAGAGGCGACGCGTCTGTCTGAGGCTGTGAGCCGGAGTCCGACGTAGGTCTCTCAACCATCAATGGTGAGTTTGGACGGAGGGACCCTCAAGATCGCTGATCCTTACAGCGAGGTCTGGACGGAGGTCGCGAAAGAAGAGAGATCAGCAGCTTTATCGGATCGGCCTCACCTTCGTTTTGTGTAGACTCGCTAACCCTCGCTGGAGAGTCTTGGCTGCGCGCACAATTCCTGTGGTCGCCGAGACTTCTGAAGACAGCGCCGCAGTGGACGCGCGACTCGTGACTCGCACCCTCCAAAAAGCTTCACCCACAGTACATACTTTGTACGGCCAGCCATAAGCAGCCAGCGGTCGAGCTTGGCTGTGGGTAATGTCGCTCATGCCGACTTGGTGCAATTGGATGCCGTGCAGAATCAAGGATGCGTGCCTCCAGTAGCCTTCGGTCAGCGAGAAGGGCAATCCGGGAGAACGGACAGCCTCGGAGGTTCCATTGAGCAACATGACATGACATGCAAGTCTTCCGTGGAGGGAACCGAGAGAGTGAGGGAGATGGAGGAGGGGAGCCGCTCGCGTGCCTTGCTGCCCAGTCGATTGCCACATGTGCCCTCAGAAGAGCAGGAGAGCACGCGACAGCAGCCGTGGTTGAGTCTCTGCAAGACTCTGCTGGAGTCTAGCGTCAGATCTCGTGTCTTGGCAGGCATCACGGAAAGTTCACCACCAAGAAGTCGCAAGCACGACCTGGTGCGTCGACAGCGTATTGAAACAGCAACGTGCCTGCGAAAACGACTGTGACTGGCTGGAATGGTCTGACGGATCGGTCGTCGGTACCTCGAAAGCCAAGAAGGCCAAGATCCAAGGTGGCACCCGTCTCGCCAATACCAGCAGCCGATGTGGATGGTCGCAGAGCTCGGCGCAGACTGGGCATCCGTCAAAACATCCACAACATGGGTCTCGATGGCCACTTTCGCTGATGAGAAGGTGCAATTGAGATTTTTTATCTGCTTTTTTTTCAAAGTATCTTGCCCGGCTCAATGTGCGGCGAACACCACCATGGCCAGGGTAGCAGCGACCGATGGCCCGTGAAGAGACAGAGCAGAGACAGAAAGAAAGAAGGGGAAGCAGGAGAAACACCCACTCCTCCCCCACGTGGACCAGCCCTCGTCTCCAGAGTCCAGGCCAGACATCCTCCAATGCTGGGAACCTCTCCAACTTCACCCTCTCTATAAAGGTCACGGCGCTCCAGGTCTCTGCTGTGGTTCTCGACCTTGAAAGACCCAACAAGCCTCCTCCCTACTTACACTTCACGCCTCCGTCCCCTCAACGGCCGCAATCGTCGTGGTGAAGATTCTTCATCCTACTTCACCCC